TAGCGATCACAAACGTATCCAGCTAAGTTTTGGAAGAGCAGTGAAAGTGGGAAGGAGACAAGATGAGCAACTACAGGAAAATTTTTATCCAGAAAGGCAAATTGAAATAGCCACTAAACAAATTGAGAAAGTAATCACGGAGGATAATAAGACAGTGTGGACATACACGAATCTAATTAGACTCTTTGAGATAGAGCTTGCTAAGACGCGTGACAAGTCGCCCCGGAAAAGAAGACACAAACCCAAAAGTTGGTGGGATGAGGAAGTTAAGAGAGCCATAGCAAAACGTCAGGAAGCCTCTAGGGAACACAGACATGCTAAGCAGCGGGGTGAACCGACAGATGATGTGGAAAGAAAATGGGCAACCTTTCTAAGCTGTAGAAGGGATGCATCCCTTCTGATCAATGAAAAGATTAGAAGGAAGGGAGCTCAGTGGCTGGCAGAAGTACATAAAAAAGATAGAAAGGCAGCTGCGAAATTTTGGAACCATCTAAACTCCCTAAGAGATGAGACGAGCCTAGAGCAGAACTTTATAACTACAGCCCAAGGTGCTAGGCTAGAAGGGGACGAAGCTATTGAATATATAAGAACAAGGGTGACAGAAAAATTTCAACAAAGAAGTACTTTATGCACCACAATAGACAAAGACGAATCAAGTGGTGCAATGGCCCCATTTTCACAACAAGAGTGGGAAAGGGCTGAGAAAAGGGTTCCTAGTAGTACATCAACAGGCCCAGATGGCATTCCAATTAGGCTGATAAAAACATTAGGTCCGAAGTCTAAGCAGGCTTTGAGAGAGGCAGTGAGTACAATAATAATCGATGGTGAAGTTCCCGATGGATGGAAACTTAGCAGGATGAGCATGATCTATAAAGAAAAGGGGGACAAAGCTGACATAAACAACTACCGTCCTATAACAGTGACATCAGTGGTCTACAGGCTGGCGATGCAGATTATAAAGGAAAGACTGCAGGCGTGGATAGAGGATGAGGGGGTGCTGGGGGAACTGCAGAATGGGTTTCGGAAACACAGGAGGTTGGAAGACAATCTGTTCTCACTGACGCAGTGCATCGAAATAGCAGAAAATGAACACAGGCCCCTGTGGCTAGCATTTTTGGATATCAAGGGAGCGTACGATAGCGTGGTTCAAGAGGAATTGTGGGGAATACTGGACACACTAGGCGTGGAACATGTAGTCAGTAATCTTTTAAAGGGTATCTACAAAGGTAACAAGGTAGTTATAAAGTGGGAAAAACAGGTTTCCAAGCCTGCAGAGGTAAAACGGGGGCTTAGGCAGGGGTGCCCCCTGTCACCCTTATTATTCATGATGTATCTACAAGGATTAGAGGCAAAAATTAGAGGGAAGTGGACTTGGCTTCAACCTCTCTTTAGTCAAACAAGGAAAACTTATTGATCAGGCACTACCGGCATTAATGTACGCAGATGATATAGTGCTAATGGCCAACAACAAGGAAGATTTGCAGAGATTGATGGACATCTGCGGTAATGAGGGAGATAGGTTAGATTTTAGATTCAGTAGGGAAAAATCAGCAGTCATGATTTTCAATGACAACGAAGGTAGTGAGCTTAGAATACAGGAGGTCACGCTAGAGATGACAGATAAATACAAATATCTGGGCGTATGGATAAGCAATGGGACCGAGTATCTGAGGGAACACGAAATATACGTGACGACTAAAGGTAACAGGAATGCAGCAGTCATGAAAAATAGGGCACTGTGGAATTACAATAGGTATGATGTTGTGAGAGGAATATGGAAAGGGGTCATGGTTCCTGGGCTGACGTTCAGCAATGCGGTCTTGTGCATGAGATCAGAAGTTCAAGCAAGATTAGAAATTAAGCAACGTGGAATAGGTAGGCTTGCTTTAGGAGCTCACGGGAATACACCAAATCAGGGAGTACAAGGTGATATGGGATGGACATCATTTGAGGGCAGGGAGGCTAGCAGCAAGATAAAATTTGAGAAGCGATTGAGAGAAATGGGGGAAGAGCGTTGGGCTAGGAAGGTTTTCAGCTACTTGTACATGAAGAATGTCGATACAAAATGGAGGAAGCGAACCAGGAAGTTGACTGGTAAATACTTAGAAAACAGCAGGTGGCCAAACCAAAAAGAACTATCGGTTAAGAAAAAAGTGAAGGAAACGGAGACTGACATGTGGAGAATGGGCATGATTAAGAAGTCCGCACTAGAGATCTATCGAACTTTTAAGCAGGAAATTGCCAAGGAAAGGATCTATGATAATACTCGGGGTAGTTCTCTACTGTTTGAGGCCAGGACGGGAGTACTGCGAACCAAGACATATCGGGCCAAATACGAAGGGGTCGACACAATATGCAGTGCGTGTGGAGAGGAAGAAGAAACTGCCGAACACTTGATAATGTTCTGTAAAGGGCTTCACCCTATAGTTCAGGATGATGGCGCAGAGTTTTTCAAAGCACTGGGATTTAGGGACAGCGAGGGCAAAATAGACTTTAAGCGGGTAGACTTAACTAGAAGGAGGTTATCTGATTGGTGGCTAAAGTCAAGGCACGAGTGAAAATTAAACCCTTCACTGCGAAGTACGAATCCTCAACTTCATTATTTAAAGGAAAAAAAGATAAATGTAATGGTTAGTTCACTAAGTATTACGGCTAGGTGACATTAGCCGCCGCCCTATCTAAAGGGTACAGCCACATCCATCCATCCATCCATCCTAGGCGAGGCGCGGTCACTTGGTGATTCAGCGCGCTAGTTCAGCACGTCTGCCGGTATCCTGCGCATCGCTTTGTCTGCAGCTACTGTACTGCACGTGTACCGGTATACTCTGCTCTGCATTTTCTCGCACGGACCGTTGTGGAGCAGCTATCTTTACCTGTTCAGGTATTCCGTACCAACAAACATGTAGCTCGTGACATGTCGAAGTGGAGGACGGATTCACACTGTTTTGCTCCGGGTTGCCGAAGCGGCTACCCGGGCGCCCCGAAGGCATCGTTGTTTGCAGCTCCTAGAGAAGACGATCTCCGCAGAAAGTGGGAGCGTAACCTCCGGAGGGATGACAAGCCTCTGACCGAAAGATCAGCGGTGTGCGAACATCACTTCGAGCCAAGATATATTCTGCGCGAATATGTACACGTGATAAATGGCTGTGAAGTGCGCACTCCCCGAGGAAAACCGTCATTGGTGCCTGATGCCGTGCCAACGCTTTTGCCAGGTTGTCCAGCGTACCTTTCCGTCGCTGCGCCCAAGCAAAGACCCGAGAGAAGGAAAGCAGCCAAACCTCCTGAAGGCGCAAGCAGAAAACGGCGCAGGCCTGATGCACCTGACGAAGTGTGCGACGGCGGTGAAATGGAAGGCATGGACTTTAATGCTGCCACTAGTGCGTGACTTTCAATTGAAGCTATTCGCACACTTGAAGTTCCTGCAAACTACTGGTGTCGTATAGAAGCAGTTGGCCACTGCGATCTAATATTTGTGACGACAGTGATAAGCAAGCGTACAAAACTGGATATTTTTCATGAAAAACTGTGTGCTTTATGTCCACAGAAGGAAAAATTGTAGCCCAAGTCTTCTATCAAGGTGTTTTGTGTCAAGAGAAACCCGTGCAATCCCTTGCTGAGGCCACATCCGTATTGGAAGAAGCTCGAGAAAGCCCTGTCTGCAAGGGAGCAATGTGTAAACAAGAATTCAAGCCGCTTTCCTCTCGGCTGACCGCACATCATCGAGCTGAAGCAAACACTGCTGGACGATCCGTGATCAGCGTACGCTGCTTCGGAAAAGTTTCTTCTGAAGGTAAGTAGACGTAAAGTGCATTAGGATGCCCATAACATTACCACATTGCCTCAGGTATTGAGGGGTGTGATTTTAACGTATGCAGTGTTTGTTCATTTGCAGGCCCAAGTCGTTTTTTACATCACTACTCGTCTGCATTTCCTAACTAGAAGCGTGAACCAGAATAGTGCTAAAAAACGAGAATCAGCCAAGCACCTAAAGCTCAGTAGATGTTAAGTTCTGCACATGTCCATCTCACGTGTCTCCTTTTTTGCGAATCCTCGTAATAGTTTTGAAAAGCTGTTAAACTAGTGAAATTTATTTTGTTATTTTGTATTTTTTTGTACTCTTCCAACCATCACAATAAATAAAAAGATGTTCCTGTTTTCATTTTCGATGCTGAGCACTGTGTCCTTACCATGACCTTTTATGTAATAAGCCAGCACCAAAACTATAGTGGAAGCGCGCCGTAAGCTTGTGATGGTGATGAGCAATCGCTTTGTAGCGAATGTTATTAGCGCGCGTGGTAAATATGAATATATATATATATATATATATATATATATATATATATATATATATATATATATATATATATATATATATTCTTGGCCAAACTATGTATATACAAACCGCTGAGCCACGCAATAACTAACCTAGCAATTTTACGTTTGCATGAGCCAGGAAGCAAACACGCGCGTTAGAATTGACCATAGCTGCAACTCAGAAGGAGCCAGCGACGGCCGGTCAACGCAGCCGAAGCTCCTAGGAAATGGAGCAGTGGCGCCACCTCGCGCCATCCGTGTGAAAGGCTGGCGCCAGAGCCTGGCCGGTCGCACCACTAGAGTACTTCTAGTTCACTATAGTACTACCCATCATTCCCATCACATCCTCCATGATTCCCATAGTCGCTGAACGATCGCAGCGCCAGAGCTCCCTCTAGTTAATTTTGGGAAACTCTGTGGTTGTACCGTGTACGTACATACACAGCCTCCAAGATTTCTGTTGCCTGTCAGATTATCGGTGGTCATTTGAAAAACAGCCGTCGTCGGAACTGCGGTAGTGGCGTCGCTTAAGTAGAATTGTCTTCAAATAAGTTTTTACGTTTTTGAAACATATACGCAACAAAAATACCGTAAAAAAGTTTTAAAAAAGCGTAAGCGTAATTATAATTATTTTTACGTAAGTGGCGCTGTCATAGATGACAGGCGTTTTGCGCTCATTTAGCAGGCAACCTCTTCAAGGCATAGCCTCTGTAATTAGCAAACGCCAAAATTGCTGATATCAAAGGCCAAGTACAAAAACCTTTAACCCTACGTAGGTAGCGTCGTCATAGATGATGGGCGTTTCGCGCTTATTTCGCGGGCAAAAAAATATAGGAGGCTATGGTACATATCAAGGCTTTGCTAAAAATCCCTAGAAACATGCACTTTGCCTTTTTGCTTTGAAACGTCCCGCGCATGTGCAGCACAGTCCAGTTGGTGCAGCTTCAAGGAGTGCGCGGCTACAAGGTGTCTGCTTCTGTGCCGAGTCGTGCTCACCGTTACAGGTGCCTCTATCTACACATCACCTACACGTCGAAGGCATGTCTGCTGCTGTGAGAACTGTCAAGGTAAGCACAGAAGCAAGGTGTTGAAAAGCTCCGACGAATACGTGCTTACGTATGTACAGTACGTTCCGTACGGCTGCAATTGGTTATCCACGTGTTTTGCGAGGTCGAGTGGATGTGTACCTTTCTGTGTTATCTCGGCTGCACGATCGAACGCGTGAAAGGAAAATCGGAACAGATATACCATGTAATACCGTGCACTAGGAAAGAAATGTCGACGGCGATATATGAAATCAAGAAGTGTAATACCTTTTCCGTTACCGTTTTCCTCAAAGGCGAAACCACCAACCCGGCGGTGTTGCGCTGCTTCGAGTATGTGCGCTTATTTGAGTATATTCGTCGAACCTCGATTGTGCAGCTTTGTAAGCGTTCGTTAAGTACTGCATAATAATAATAATAATGTTGAATATGTTACACACAGTGTCTAGCACGTCACAGCTTCGTTATTGAAATGTTGCAAGTGGTCCTTTTTTTTTCCTTTTTTTTCTTGAAATGTTGATGTGCCAAGAAGTCATGCAAATCAAACTTCCTAACAGTCATGTTCAAACGACAGGTAATAAATTTTCCTTTGTGGAAAAAGCCTGCACGCTCGTGTATCGTGGTAAACATGTTCTTAAGGCCAAACCTCATAAGCGCGAAAATGCACGCGACGAGCGACGCGACGTAGATCGTCGTCGCGCGATCAGTCGTTAGCGCAGGCAAACCTCATTCACGCGACGGCTTCGGCGAGCGAACTCCACTGTTGCTGGCATGAGGCCGTCAACTCGCACCAAGAAAACCGCGTAGCGAGCGGTAAGCAATTTAAAAATAAGATATATTGTTGTGTAATGAAACGGAAAGTGTTTATTATTGCCTTGCAGCACTTTTTTATAGGCACATGCGTAATAAACATTGCGTTATTTCTTGTTGCGCATACGTGACACGGGCAGGGTCACGTGCACCTATGTAGTCTGTCTTTTCCGGTTTTTCGCTATTGGCTGCTTGAGTCCAGCACTTCCGGGCGATGAGCGACGGTTTCCAAATCTGGAGAACCGAGCGATCGCGCGAAAACGAGCACGCAACACGTCGCTCGAACGCCCTGTTTCGTCGCTCATAGCGTCGCTCGTCGCTGTCGCGTGTATTTTCGCGCTTATGAGGTTTGGCCCTTATGATTTTGCCTTGAATGCATGAAATTTTGCACAGTTCCAGTCTTTTTTTCCCCCGCCATATGGACAACCACTATACATAGTGTTCATGTGATGTCACTTCCGCCGTTGTCGCCATCTCCCGCCATGCCCGGGTACCTCGCTGGGTACCTACAGCAGTTTGCGTGCTGCAGCGCGGTTTGTTGAGGGCTCGTCATCTATTGCTGTGCGCGATGTTTGAAGAGAAGCCGTGCGGTTTTTTGTTGTCATGCTTTAACGAGCTCATCGGGTCAAGAAGGCCTCGCTTGTTCACTCGATACAAGACCGGAAAATTAAAACGTGTGACACGTATACAAGCCACCGCGTACATCGGCTACCCGCCACGATCTACAAGGACCCATTATATCGCTTTCACTATAAATTGCTTGGTCTAAGAACAAGTGAAAGTTCAAAGTCTCTCGAGCCGCAATTTAAAAAGTAAATGAGTGAAGCACACAGCTCCCATCAAAAATGAGTCATCGTGCAGAGCTAGGCAAGTTTACAGGAGATATATTATTAATACCAATTTTAATATGTTGCTGCGGCCCACACCGCATTTCGGAAGTGACGAAACGGCGCTGCGTGACGCACGTGCACACTATGTATTGTTAAATAAGCTATTCATGCGAGGGAAATTATAAACAGGTAATATAAATGTGTGTAAATAAAATAACATAGGACATTATGGAACTTATACTTTTGAAACATAAGTTCAGGACAGAGCGTGAAACACATTGGGAATGTTGGAGCACTTAAAACTTGTTCAGATAGACACTTCGGTGAACCTGCTTTTCAACAATCATTTTCATGCAAGCACAGTCAAGTGATGGATTTGTAATACCTTGAGCATATTAATGCCACTTCAATCTGTTCACTGTGATTTCTTTAAGCTCACCTAAAAGTTTCCCTGAGCCCCGCAGGGGCGCCTGCGCAACTAGGCAAATGGTGTGTAGCGACACCACGAACCCGAGCTAACGGGGGAGTTTCGGCTCCCTCCCACACCTAGCCGTGCGTGGCTTTGCCGTGTCCGGGGAAAAGGGGATCCTGGGGGTTGAGCCAATGCTGGGTGATTGGACCTTTAAGGCCCCCCGGGAGAGGCAACACACCCCTTTGGCCCCGGCTTCACGTAGACGGCACCCTTGGGCTGACCCACGCAGGGGAAATCGGCAGTCGCCTTTTCCTATCTCTCTCTCCCTACATCTTCGTCTTTATCTCTTACTATTTATCTGTCTTGTCTTCTACTCTCTTCCGTTTACTTCCAAACTTCCTGGCGGCTAGGGTTAACCCTGTGCAAATAGCCTACCTTGGTCTAGGCGCATTGGGTTATAGTGGCGTTGTATTGCTGGCGTCTGCAGGTTTTAGCATCCGCAAACTTGTAGCGTCCCCTCGTTGGGCTCCGTGGTGGGTGGCCGCCAACGCTTCTGAAGAAAATTAAACTGGCATGCATAGAGCATTTCCCTTATTAAGTGATCGTACCGCCTTAAAGCGCGTACGCACCGAAGACTTAGGATTTTTCAACCGATCAAGTGAAAACTTCCCCCATTTTCATGTTATACATAGTGAGATAAGCAGCAAGCAAGCCAGAACTGTATCCCTCTTTGTAGTAGCCAGATGTCTCACAGAAACTCTTGGAGCCGGGTACAAAGTTACCAAAATGGCCAGCGGAGACCTCCTCCTTGAAGTTCGAGAAAAAGAACAGTTTGAAAAGCTACAGAATCTTTCAACTTTTGGTGACACTCCCATCACTGTAACGCCACACAGATCTATGAACACAACCCGTGGAGTAGTATCTGATGCTGATTTGCTTGGCTTGACTGAAGAGGAACTTCTGGAGGGGTGGAAGAGTCAGAATGTGACCAATGTACAAAGGATCATCATTAGAAGAGACAACAAGGTAACACCAACGAAACACCTAATACTCGCGTTCGCTTCCAGTAATCTGTCAGAAAGTATTTAAACAGGGTACACTAAGACGTCGATCAGACCATACATACCTAACCCACGTCGTTGTTTTAAATGTCAGAAGTATGGACAGGGCTCACAAAGCTGTCGTGGTCACCAAACTTGTGCACAATGTGGAGTGTCAGGCCACAATTCTGACAATTGCGAAGAACCGTCACACTGTGTGAACTGTGGCGGAAGTCACGCCGTATACTCACGGTCTTGCTAATTTTGGAAAAAAGAAAAAGAAATTATCACATTGAAAATTAAAGAAAATATCACATTCAAGGAATCAAGACGAAGAGTGTCGCCATTTTATGGCGCTACATATGCTGATGCGGCGCGTCAGGGGGCAACGCCGCACCAGCCCTCGCCACTCCTTCGGCCAGCGCAGAGCGAGCCGTCGGCTGTGGCGCCTGCCCCCAAGGCAGCAGTAGTTCAGTCTACTCCGCCTCCTAGCGAATTGAGGCCGGAGACTCCAAGGTTCTCTGGTCTCAAGGCCTCCCCTCACCAGGCGAGGCCTAAAATCCGAACCACCAGCTCGCATGTGCGGGCACCCAGTGCCTCTGAGGAGGCAATGGACACAACAGTACCCTCGGTACCAAAACTGCGGCGCGGCTCCTTGGAGCGTGCAAAGAAAAATAAAAAAACCAATAACGGGGCCGGACTACAGTCCTGCCACCTGAATTAACGAGCTAACTCTAACACAGGATACTCTTTGTACACACAGCAGCATCTCTCTTGTTTAAATATGCAGACAGAAATATTACAGTGGAACATCCGAGGCCTTCTTCGAAACCTCCAAGAACTCCTCCATGAACACAATCCAAAAGTGCTGTGTGTACAGGAGACACACTTAAAACAAACAAACACAAACTTTTTACGTAACTACGTAATCTTCCGAAAGGATAGAGATGATGCCATGCCATCATCCGGTGGTGTAGCGGTTATAGTTAGTCAAGGTATAGCATGCACACAATTACCCCTTCAAACTTCCCTCGGGGCGGTGGCTGTCCGAGCAGTTATTCTAAACAAACTTGTCACTGTCTGCTCTTTGTACATACCGCCGCACCACCGTCTTGAAAAACTTCAATTCCAGTCTTTAATAGACGAACTACCTGAACCTTATCTGGTCCTAGGGGACCTGAATGCACATAATGGTCTGTGGGGTGACTCTCGCTGTGATGCACGAGGTCATCTTATTGAACAATTCCTCATTTCATCAGGTGCTTGTCTGTTGAATAGGAAAGAGGCAACATACTATAACCTTGCCAACAAAACTTACTCTTCCATAGACCTCAGTATCGCATCTCCTTCACTTGTACCATTACTTCAGTGGAAAGTCATAAATAATCCTTATAGAAGTGACCATTTTCCTTTAGTTTTGAGTACACCAATAATATATGAATGCCCTCCACATGTTCTCAAATGGCTGGTAAACAAAGCCGACTGGGAACAATTTCAAAAGATTACTCACTTAAGTTGGACTGACATATGTGAATTAGGCATAGATGAAGCTGTGCAGTACTTCACGGCTTTTCTTACTGACGGAGCAGCCAAGTGCATTCCACAAACATCTGGACTGCCCGGCAAACGACACGTCCCGTGGTGGAACACTGAGTGTCAAAATGCGCGAAAGGAACAGAACAGGGCATGGAGGTTGCTGCAGAACTTGCCGACAGCGGAAAACCTTGAGAGATTTAAGAAAATAAAATCTCGAGGCAGGAGAATGCGTCGGCAGGCCAGAAGAGAAAGCTGGCACAAGTTTTTATCAGGGATAAATTCATATACACAAGAGGCTAAAGTCTGGAACATGGTTCGTAGGGTAGCAGGAAGACAAGTACACTCACTCCCACTCGTAAACACACAGGGTGACAGCCTGGAAGATCAGGCGAACTT